GACGCCACCGGAGCCGTCGTCGAAACCTCCAAACTTCTTAAGGTCTTCTGCAGCCTCTGTCGTGGTCGACAGACAGCCGCAAGAAGCAGAAGAAGCAGAAATCCACAGAGAACATGCCAATTGGATTGCCAAACCTCATGGGAGTAGTAAAGGAAGGATTGTTTCTCTTCTGGAAGTATCCAAGATGAAGCGAGCTCGTAGCCAGATCCCAGCATGTTGCCCATAACCACAAGACCCGTCACCGTGACATTGTCGACACGTTCGGGTACTGCGCACGAGAAACGATTCCGGTGCAGAGTCAGGTTGGCCGTTCCATGTCTAGGGCATCCAGTCAAAGTAGGACAGTTGCTCCTGATTTGCCGAAGCTCATTCTCTGTGAAGTTGAACCATGGGTTCCCTCTCGTTGTTAGCGAGATTTCACCACAGCCCATCTGGCCCAGCGCGAACTTGGAGTTATCCATGCACGTCACATTCAAGCGAATGTCGCTGATGGAGCCCCCGATGGAATTCTCATGCAGGGTCAACACTCCAAGATGCCTCAGCGTGTGAAAGCTACTGGGAAGCTTACCAGACAACTCATTCTTGTGCAAAGCCAGCACCACTAGCTCCGGAGCATGCACTTCAGGAAGGGACCCTTGTAAACGATTGTTGTTGAGTGCAAGAAGAGTCAAATGGCGGAATTGCATCAAACACTGTGGTATTTCACCAATGAGCTCGTTGTGGTTGAGACGAAGCTCTTGCAACGATCCACCGATGGGGCTCAACTTGCAAAAGATATCTACAAGTTTGGAGAGACTCCCACGAAACTTGTTGTGGCTCAAATCCATGTGTCGGAGCTTCTGACATGACTGCCCAGTCTCAGACACTTCCATGTTGAGCTCCCCACTAAGAGCGTTGTGGCTAATATCAAAAACCGTAAGGCTGCAAATGGTATTCCAAAGAAATGCAATGCCTCCGCTCAACTGGTTTCGAGAAAGATCGAGAATTCTCAAGTCCAGTTGGCTAAGCTCCTGGGGAATTTCACCACTCAGCGCGTTCTCAGAAAGGTCAAGCTTTTTCAGCAATCGGAGCTGGCCGAGCTCTTTGGGGATGTGGCCTCGAATCTGGTTCTGGGCAAGGTGGAGAGAAATCAAGTTGCGCAACTGACCAAGTTCTGTGGGAAGTCCTTCCAAAGAATTCTTGTAGACGAAAAGACTCCTCAATTTCTGTAGCTGGCCAAGCTCTTTGGGAATGCTGCCCTGAAGCTGGTTCTCCGCCAGATCTAGCACAGAAAGACCCTGAAGTTGGCCAAGCTCTGTCGGGATTTGGCCCGTCAGTTGATTTTGCGAAAGGTGCAACTCCTCCAATGTTGTTAAGTGGCCAAGCTCTTTAGGGATAGATCCTGCGAGCTGATTCTGATGCAAGTGCAGCCCTCGTAACGAATGCAGCTGGCTCAGCTCCCTCGGAATGGGGCCATTGAGCTGGTTGTGTTCCAGTTGAAGCCACTCCAGGTTCTCAAGTAGCCCAAGTTCTTCGGGAATCCGGCCATCTAGCTGGTTCGATGCCAGGCCAAGAACTTCCAAGAACTTCAACTGACCCAGCTGTTTTGGGATCTGGCCTTTCAGCTGGTTCACTTGGAGGTTTAGTTGGCGAAGAAACCGCAAGGCACCAAGCTCTTTGGGGATACGCCCCCGAAGATCCAAATGTTGCAGAGTGATTTCTGTGAGTTCTCCCTGATCATCGCAGTAGAAACGTTTGGCGCTGCAGGGCATCCGGGCCACAGCCTCTGCTTGGTCTCTGGGCAATCCCAGCTCCACGAGGATCTTGTAAAGCAAAGTATCTGAATTCACAGGCGGATCGTGCTCGATCGACACCGCAGTCATGGCGCCATCACGCAAGCTTGTCATAGCAAGCTCATCTGGGTGAGCTGTTAGAGTAGGGAGACTGCTTGACTGGTTCTAGTCAACTTGTCTTTTTGGAGGTCTCGGATGTCAAAGATTTTTAAAACTGGTTGATCTGGTCTTAGACAGTGTAAAAACGCTGAGTAAAATTCAGCTCGTTCGGGATGACCCAGGCCATTTGAAAAGGGTATGCTATGACCCAACTCCTTCGACCACTGCAGCGGTGTTCTCCACCTTTCGCCCTGAGAGAAAGAGCCAAAGACCCGAAAAACACTGGAGTCCAAGGGATTCGGACATCTTCTGTACCCGGGTCGAAGGAGGTCCTGGAGTTCGGAGCTTTCTTGTACTTCAGTACCAAATCACCAGGCTTCTTTTGACCGACTGGCGCTTCTAAGTTGCCAGGCGCTCAGCTGGTTATAGACGCAAAAAACACCCAAGGTCAGAGGGTTACACCAACTATGACTCGGTCCAAGGGCAACACTCAATCAATAACGAGTTGAGATTGAAATCGTGAGTAGTGGTCACACATCAACACTCCTGCGGGACGAGAATGAGATGTTGGCACCCAGGATGATGACATGCGCACTCAAAGTGCCTTAAGAATGAGATAAATCCACCCAACTACAATGGGCCGTCGGGCCAAAACCATGCAAGAATATCAACATGCAGTCTATGGGAAAAAAACCTCCAGTGTTTGTGAAGACAATCTATCAGATACACTGCGCATTCTCAGGATTCTCTCACACACTTCTACAATCACAAAACTGCCAAATGGAAGCCTCCTTTGGTCAGCACGTCCAAGTCCGTCTCACGCAGTACCTGCACCTGACGCAGACACTGGAATGGAGACACAGAAGCCTGTCAGGTTCTTCGACATGGAGAAGAGAAACACGTACCAGTGGTATCAGCCAAACACAACTTTGTTTAAAAACACGAGTGGGATCCCGGGAAAAAATGTGAAGACCCACTTTCTCCAATGACCCGCAAGAACTCCAAGGCATATCAACACCGTTGCCGACGGACTAAAACATAGCACGCCACTTCAGCAGGGCCATCTGCGTGAAAACATCCGAACTGTCTAGGCTGCCAAAAACACAACGTAACACCACAGGAAGAAGAGGAGATGTCTGGTTGAGACAAAGTTGGTTTGTTTACCTATTGGTTGATCACTTGGGAGTATCCCGGAATCAACCACACCAATCAATAGAAATGAAGCCATTTATATGGATGTTTGCAAAAAAAAAAATCATCCTGATATGCCTAAACGGGAGGAGGAGGAGGATTGAAGTGTTCTGCTCAAACGAATCATTTGGAGGAAACCACGCGGTGAGATTCCGGCAGAACAGCCGGTGAGAAGTCCCCACAAACCTCGCTTGGGCTCGTGGGTGGTGGACATCAACCATCCGAAAAACCATCCAATTTCTCCAGTGCTTTGTCTCATCCCCCCCAAAAAAAAAACTACAGAATATCCCTCTCACTCTTCCCTCCACGTCCCTGTTTCTGCGACTTCCTGAAGCTCCTCCCCAAATCGAAAAGCCACCGAAAACCACGCCTTCCCACCCGACTCTGGTCGAACGCCTTCAGCACCTAGTCGAACCTCGGGACGGTTCGCAAGCCGAGGTGACTGGGGGTTTTGGGGGTACCGATTTGGAGAACACACGGTGACAAAGCCGGTGACTCCATGTTTCATGACACGAGAACGAAGCTACTTCTTGTTGCTGTCTTGTTGGTAGGGATGGGGGCTCATGCTTAGTGACCAATAGAACATAGTTGTCTGGTGCAACTAGCCTGCTAGCAGGCAGTGGGTCCCACTGGCATCACACAGTGGACTTGAGACTTGTTGAGGCCCTTCAAAGCTCCCAAGCTTTGGAAAGATCGCGCCGGCGAACGTTTCAGGAGTAAAGCTGTTCACCACACTGGTTGGACAATTCAATGATTCACTCCAATTCTCACCACGTTTCACCATGTCTCAAATCATCCAATGACTATTCCCCCTCCTTCCACCCTCCGCAGGTGCCTGGGGTGGGTGGCTGGGGCGGTGTTTCTGACCCCCGGGACACTCCCGGAGAATGCCATGCCTGGCGTGAATACGACCCAGTGTCAGTTGTAGAATCATCTGTAGGAACTACGGCGCAGAGTGGCAGGAGCCTGTTATGTGTGTATATTGTATATATATATATACATACAGATGGAAATCGTCTGATTCTTTGGAAATACAGTTCGAAAGCTGTGTGAAAAAGTAAAAGCGTGACCACATGTGAGGCTTTCTTCTAGCACCAATCAATCAACTGCACACAGTAGGCACCAAACGCGAATCCCCACAAAAACCTTAAGAATGCCGCCCCAGGGGCTCTCCAGAAGGCACCCGGGACTTTGCATTGCATGTTCATCTGTATACCCTAGAAGTCCAAAGACTATATTTTGACCGGCTGAAGTAAAGGAAGTTCCCTTTCAGGTCCCCTAAAGACCATTCTTTTTATAGTCTTTGACTCCCAAGGTATACATGTTGCGTGACCCGAACCTCGACCCGAACCTCCACCGCCGGCCTCAGCGTCGCATCATCATCGACCGACCTGAAACGTAGACCGAAGTCCCGGCCTACCCCGTCCCGAAACCCCGTCTGCCCCCGGCCTACCCCGAAACCAACAACACACCGAAAACACCGAAAGAACGCTTTGAGATGTGACCGTCTGGCAGGTCGTCTCATTGGTCTCGTCCGCGACGGGCGGACCAGTCTGAAGGCTGCTCATCGGACAGTGTCACACCCGGCCGTGCCGTGCCGGAAGACCGAAAGCACGCGCGGTGAAAGGATGAGACCCGAAAGTGGAGGTCTTGGGCGCGGCTTCAAGTGGAGGTCCTATAGCTGAAGAGTGTACTCCTCTAAAGTCTCAGGGAGCAAACCAGACCCTCCAAAGAACCATCATAAGTCTATAAGTATGGTGTCGTGTCAAGTCATGATCAAGGGTGATCAAGTTCTGGATGTGGCCCGCAGGGATTTCATCCTTCGACAGCGATCATGCCATGAAACGCCACGGCGACCACCGAATAGATGGCTTCTCACATCTCTTGCGTTGATGGAGGAGAATCCAACTTCACGTGGAGAAAGTCGCCAAGTCGCCCCTCCGAGCAGAGACGTCCATCAGATTGCTCTCCGCAGATCTGGCCGTCCTCTGCGGCTCCACAGGGACGAAGCGACAGAGTCGCTCACTCGGTTGGCATGGTGCACGGCACACGGTAGGACCGACCCGAAGCAAGGCGGCATCCAATCATCAGGTGTGGCGTTGTGCTTTCTCCTCCAAGCCTTGTGTCAAACCGCATATCCAAGGCGAAGACAAGGAAATGAGTTTTGCACCCTGCAAAAGCACAAAAAGAGACCTGAACATAGACTCCTACTGATCTCCTACCAAGCTCCGCGTCCTCGTTATCTGAAAATGAGGACATTGTCTTTGCAACCTGCAAGGATCAAAACAAACAAACAGCTGCAATTTGCTTGCATTGCAAGAAGCTTGCCAAGTATTGGAGGCATTCTTCTGCAGAAGCACATCCTTTGTCGCACGCTTAGTCAAGTCATAACAGGTTCAGATGTGGTTGTCCTCATTGACATCTCAATGATCTGAGTCTCACTGACCTTGTCACCATCATCCCAGAGGTGGTACCTGGCCCTTTCCAGCGGCAAGAAGCGCTTGGCCCAAGGCCCCATTGTGGCCATGCTGAAAAACAGCAGCAAATATCTACCATACATCTTTGAGCTGAAGGCGTGCCAAATCTGAAAGCAGCAGCCTGCACAGAGCGCAAAGCCCAGGTAGGAGCGCGATATTCTGGCGCCTCTGTTTATGTCATCAGAAGGAAGTTTCACACCAAAGGTCCAAACACCAAGATCGAACATCAGCAAGTTTGCGATGCCAGCACCTAGGATACCCACGCTGAGCAAAGGAACCAAAGGACTCCAAAAAATCAATAGTTCCAGCTGTGTGGTCAGCAGCGACATTTGCTGCAAGGGCGCTAAAGAGCTGCTGGCTCTAGGACCACAACCAAACAGCCTCAAGTGACATCCTTGCTGTCGATCCTCGTGCCGTTCCAACCGCGAAAACTGCCACATGAACAGCAAGGCCAATGGTTGCAACGTGCTTCGTAGAAGGCACTTTTGCAGCAAAAAGGGTGTCAAATTCCCCACAATCGCACGGCTGCAGCGGCCATCCGACCACCAAGTCTCGCTCAGATTGCAAATATCTGTCTGCGTATTCAGAATCTCTTCATCGTAGATCTTCAGATCAAAATAGTGGTGCTGTGGCGACCCAGTTTTGCAAACTGTCCAAGTCCATTTCCATGCAGAGATACAGTTTTCATCCAATATGATCGTGGTCAGCAACGGAAAGAGCCACGCCGAAGCCAGCCGGAATGTCATTAAGAGTTTATCTGCCTTGATTCCAGTCAATCTCGAGTACCGGGTTGATATTCTCACTGCAACGACCATGTCAATCAACACAGTGAGGACAGGGGCAGTGCTGTGGACGAAACTCAGCAGCGCATCACTGATGCCAAGCGTGTTGTTCGCGGGCAATGAGTTGGAGAATGCGTACAACACCGATGGCAGGGAGGAAAGTGCAACCATCCACACCCAAAGAAACCACGCCAGAAACTGTCGAGCCCGCTTGAACCTCCATGGGTTGTTCAAGTTTGGCATGCTGCTACTAGTGTTGGGCGCTGCTGGCATGCTAGCCAAGACTGTCCGAAAAAAAGAAAAGCATCACACACCAGTTGCCGATCACACAAAGCTCCACCACAGGCTGAGCTTGGAAGTTTGCAGATGTGGTTCGCCACAATGGCGGGCTGCATTCGTAGTAGCTGCCCCCATGCCACAACAGCAATAGAAGTGGACTGGCAAACAAACAGGTGCTCCGGCATGTTTTCAGCCTTGGATCCATGCACATTGGGGAAGTTATGTCTTCATACCTTCTCTCCATCTATGATCTAGGCTTGGGTCAGGTGCAAGGACTTTTTTGAGAAACAGGCGTCTTAGGAAAAAAGGTGCTGGAGTGCTTGGTATTGAGTTTCCCAGGAGAACAGCCAAAGGGCTTATTTGATGAACAGTCATGTATCTGTATACATTCATACATCCATTAAAATCACATTGACACTGACATATCTATGGCATATGTTTGTACTGTGCGACCACCCCCCACACCCCCTAATACTCACATCGTGCGCCCATCGACAACTCCAGCCTAGCCCGGCTGGCTTTCATCCTCTTCATATGAGGGGTGTATTTATCAAGAGTAGCAAATTTCTCGAATTTGATTTTCTTTCCTTCCAAACCTGTCTTCCCAAGTTTCCGCTCCAAAAAACCACTCGGCCGGCGATAACCCCGCCATCGACCCCAGGAGACCGGCAGTGTCTTCAGTGAAGGAGGTGAAACGGAGAAACATGCTGTTTAAAGGAAGCCCTTACTTGTTGTTTAAAGGAAGTCCATAAGTCTTACAGAGATCTTATGCTTCTTACAGAGTCTGGGTGGCTCATCAACAACAAATTTGCTATGGAGAAACCCAGGGACAGCGCAAAGTTGGATGATGCAACCCAAGCTGTGCTCGACAAGGTCAAGTTCCGGGATGCGTCGTGAAGCCTCTGCCGCCATGGATAGCACAAAGCTGCAAAGGAAAGCAATATCAGAACGCCACAAAGAACTTTCAGATTGGATTTCCAAACGCCGTCAGAGTAGTACAGGAAGGAGTGTTTCTCTTCTGGCAGGATCCAAGGAGAGTTTAGCTCACGTCCAAACCCTAGCATGTTGCCCATGATGACTAGGCCAGTGACTGTTGCCTTGGCAGCAATGCGATCAGGAACTGCACAGGAGAATCGGTTGCGGTGCAAGGTGATGTAGGCCTTGCCATTCAAAGGGCATCCAAAGAGTGTTGGGCAGTTTTCCCTGAGTTGTAGCTCTTCGAAGTGTTGCAAGCGTTGGAAATGCTGCTGGAACCGCGCCACTCGCTTCCAACCTTTACATGAGAGGGCCTGCTGCCTGAACTTGGAGTTATCCATGCATATCGCTGTCAAGCGAATGTCGCTGATGGAGCCCCCGATGGAGTTCTCATGAAGAGTCAACACTCCCAGGTTCCTTAGGGTGTGAAGGCTTCTAGGAAGGGTGCCCGAAAACCTGTTCTTGTGCAGAGCCAGCACCACTAGCTCTGGAGCATGCACTTCAGGAAAGGACCCTTGTAAACGATTGTTGTTGAGAGCAAGAAGAGTCAAATGGCGGAACTGCATCAAACATGCTGGCACTTCACCTGAAAACTTGTTGTGGTTGAGGCGAAGCTCTTGCAATGATCCCCCAATGGGGCTCAACTTGCAAAAAATGTTTGCAAGATTGGAAAGACTCCCACAAAACTTGTTGTGGCTCAAATCCATGTGTTGGAGATCCTGGCACGATTCCGCAGACAGGTTTAAATCAACCTCTCCACGAAAAGAGTTGTAGCTGACATCCAAAACTCTGAGGCGCATGGAACTCAACATCAGTGAAATGCTGCTCATGTTCCCTCCAAGTCGGTTCTTTGACAGGGAAAGCTCTTCCAGTGCTCGTAGCTTCCGTATCGCTTCAGGTATGTCGCCCTGCAGCTGGTTCTCAGCCAAATTCAATGCACGCAGGGTCTGCAAATTGCCAAGTTCTTCTGGAATTCCTCCTGTCAGCTGGTTTCCTCCCAGGTAGAGCTCTCTTAGACTGCGCGCTTTGGGAACTTCACCCATCAGCCAGTTCTGGGACAGGTCCAAGGTACTCAAGGCCTTTAGCCGGCCAATCTCCTGGGGGATTTTCCCTGTTAGCCGATTGCCAAAGAGATCCAAACACCAGAGCTCCTCCAAGTTCCCCAATTCTCTGGGGATCTCCCCTTGCAGCCGGTTCCCTCGAAGATCCAGATAATACAAAGACCGAAGCTGGCCAAGCTCCTTCGGAACTTGGCCAGAAATCTGGTTCTTCTGCATGCTAAGCCAGTACAAAGCCTCGAGCAGGCCAAGCTCCTTGGGAATGTTGCCGCTGAGTTTGTTGTGGGACAAGTCAATAGCCCTCAAGCGCTGAAGTTCCCCAAGCTCTTTGGGAATTCCTCCCGTCAGCTGGTTGCGGTTTAAATGCAACTCCCGCAAACCATCCAGCTGACCAAGCTCCTTGGGAATGTTGCCAATCAGCCGATTATGCGAAAGAACTAGACGCCTGAGACTTCTCAGTTTCCCAAGCTCTTTGGGCATCTGGCCAACCAGGTGGTTCTGGTCAAGATCGAGAATTTCAAGCTTTTCTAGATGGCCAAGCTCCGGAGGAATTTTTCCTGAAATCCGCGATCTGCTCAGGACCAACTCTCGCATGCTCCACAGCTGACCAAGCTCTTTGGGAATCTTTCCCCACAGCAGATTCTGTGAAAGATCAAGCACCTCCAAAGCTTTCAGCCTCCCAATCTCTTGGGGAATGTCACCTTCAAAATGATTCTTGGTCAAGGAAAGCTGTTCGAGGCTCTCCAGCAGGCCAAGCTCTCTGGGGATTTCGCCCGAGAGGTGGTTGTAGGCCAGCTCCAGCTTTCGCAATCTCCGCAGCCGCTCCAGCTTCCAGGGGATTCGGCCGGTCAAGTCGTTGCCTTCAAGTCTGATTTCCTCCAGCGCTGTGAGGTTTCCGAGCTCCTCCGGGATGTGTCCATCAAGGTTGTTTGCACCAAGGTTCAGCCTTCGCAAGCCATGAAGATCTGCAAGTTCCTTGGGGATGCTGCCCTTGAGCGTGTTTCCTGGGAGATCTAGCTCCTGAAGCATCAACAACTGCCCAAGCTCTTTGGGAAGTCGGCCTCCCAGTTTTCGAAAGCTGAAGACCAAACCAATGATTTGCCCATCCTCATCGCAGGAGAAACCCTCGGCGCTACAGGGGTCCTGGGACATGAACTCCGCTTCGCTTGGAGAAACACCGAGCTCCATCAACACTGTGTAGACCAAAACATCTGGCTGAGCGCCACTCCAGGTCAGCATCATCAGAGACATCATCGAACATCTTGCCCAGCTCATGACTCGACTCTCAACATGATAGGCCATTTGAGCAAGAATGATCTGCCTGCAGTCGGAGACCAATCAAAACCCACGGCACCTTCACCGCTGATGAGAACTGGAATCCAATCAGTGCAATGGACACGAACGGATCTCAAGTGGGAATGGATGATTTATATCAGTGCCCAATTGCGCCCAAGCAATCGCGATACTTCAAAGTTCTGCATGAACATGTGCCCAAAAAGAAAACAAAAAACATTAAAAAAAACATGTGGCCACACCTCTGCACAACTTCCATCCACTTCAAGAACTATAATATAACTGTTCCACCCTACGTCCAATTAGTGCGCGGCTGTAGAGGCCCAAAAGAACGCCAAGCTCCAAGTGAAAATAACGACTAGGGTCATTGACGTCGTCCTTCTCTAAGAAATCTACGAAATCCAACAAGGTACAGTTTGTCTTAGAAAGAATATAAAGGTTCCCAGCTGCATAATGCTCCTCATCTTCCCATGGCTTGACATACTATCCTTATGTCCTTATCCTTCCTTTGCTTGTGAAAGCGGCACCCACTTCCACTTCCTCCCAACGCCTGGCTGACCTGACCTGCTGACCTGTCCATGAGCTATGCAGCATTGCAAACTGCTCTGGAAAAACCAACTAGACGACGAGTGGCCCGAAAGCATTTTTCATCACGTCGGAAGTCAGAGTGTGAGTTATCTGTTAAGTGTTCAGTGTGAAGTGTTAAGTCGAGTGAGTTGAGGCAGTGTGTGGGTCTCTGTGTGTGTGTATCTATGTCTGTGTGTGTGTGAGTCTCTGTCTGTGTGTGTGTGTCCGAGTAAGTTGAGGCAGTGCGTGGGTCTCTGTGTGTGTGTGTGTGTCAACCTCTCAAGAGAGCCGGGTGGTCGGGAGACATGACTCAGCTGCAGGGGCGCCAGAGCAGCCGCGAGAGATGACTCAGCCGCGAGAGATGACTCATCCGCGTACTAAAGTTGTACTACAAAGTCGCCAGTTCTCAGCTTCCAGCTCCACAGATTGCTCCGCGTACTACAGTTGTACTACAAAGTCGCCAGTTCTCATCTTCCAGCTCTCCAGATACTCCGCATACTACAGTTGTACTACAAAGTCGCCAGTTCTCAGCTTCCAGCTCCACAGATTGCTCCGCGTACTAAAGTTGTACTACAAAGTCGCCAGTTCTCATCTTCCGCGTACTGAAGTAGTACCGCCCAGCACGCCACGGGTGGTTCTTCCCAGCCTCGCTCTCGCCTCGCACGAACCAGCGAGCCGGGCTTGCTCTCAGGCCCCCTCGGCGCGGTGCACGGGCACTCCAACGGTCCAAAAACGCAGAGTCCTTGTTACTAGAAATGCCCTTTGTTACTAGTAGCGTCCTTGTTCCTAGTAGTAAGGCCAAGAGCCCCGAACGTAGCGTCCTTGTTACTACCGTGAAACACGAAATGAGAAGGAATCGCTAAAATTTTCGCCGCAGGGGCGCATTTGGAGTGTGCCAATTTGGGGTGTGTTTAGTAAACTAGAGAGTAGCCAAAGGTACCGCAGATGTCCGATATCCATAGATTCTATTCTGGTCAGTGTGCTTGCTTACATTGCAGTTTATGTGTTTGGACTTGACTTCCTGCCAGTTTCACTTACAGTATATGGGAACCGTTGAAGTAAGCAGTAAACAGTTCAAGCACACCTCGTCTGGACGCAACAAATGGTTCCAAGGTTCCTCACCTCTTCAACGGAAGATCCGATGGAAACCACTTCCCGTTGTACACCCCGGCTCACGTGTGCCACTCACGGTTGACATCCAATTCTGCACGTCCGACATGCCCGGCACGAAAACAGCGAAGACCAGAGGAAGAGTCGCTGCGGCTTTGCCAAGCAAGTTCGGGGTGTGGAGGAAGAGTCGCTGCGGCTTTGCCAAGCAAGTTCGGGGTGTCTTGCCCTGATCCAACCGCTCTGTCACGGAGCCTTCTAGAATCAAGAAACTGTCTAGATTCCAAGCTGCGATCGGAGCAGTCACACACCAAACAGGCGTTGAGTTCCACACCAAACCAGGCAGAACCGTCGATCCGGATCTGTCCTGAAGAGATTCAAGGCTGGACTCAAATCACTTGTTTCAAACCTGCCCCACATAAACTGGCTGCTGACTAGAATGGAAGAGAGCTGAGCTATGCATACCCGTCCTGGTTTCCATTGCAGCATCTTTAAAGTAGAGCATGGATGCAAAAGACCATGCAAAGTAAGTCACCCAGAACAAAACACTCCTTTGACATGCACGACGTGCTCGGACATTCCCTTGCCACTGCCACAAAAAAAGGACCGTACTGCCGCCGCCCCTTGTTAGACTCGGATGGATCGGAGCGTCTGACTCGGCCCAGGCCGTGCCCCAGGTGGTTCTAACTGATCCCGTTCGAGTTCGAGTTCAAGTTCAAGTTCGGGTTCGAGTTCGATGCGCGAGATTGCGCGGATCGAGCGAGACGGGGGTGGACCAGTCGAGTTCGATACAACAATTATAGAGCCGGGGGGTTGGACCAGTTCACCAACAGCCACCTGCCAACGGCGCCAGCAGCAACCAACCAACTGACCACAACGTAGCATCCCTTTTGTGGGCCATCCGAGGGTAAAATTTAGAAAAGGAAAAAGCCATTACAACGTAGCATTTCTTTTTGTGAGCAACCCGAGGGTAAAATATAGAGAAGGAAGAAGCCATTGCAAAGCATTCCTTTTGTGGGCCATTCGATGGAAAAAATTGGAGCAGGAAGGAGCCATTACAACGTAGCAGTCCTTCGACTTCGACTGCCATGCACTTCGACTGGGGAACCAGTTGGGAAAAGACCCACTTCGAGTTCGAGTTGGAAATCGAATTCGATTCGACGACAATTTTTACACCCGGGCGGGGAGTGTTCAATCGGATCCATCGGATTCATCGATGTGGAAAGAAGCGCCACTTGGGAGAAGAGAGCTGAACAGAAAACCATCGCGTTGGAAGAGAAAACCATGGCGTGTGGTGTAGTTGTTTCTAGACATCGATCTGCACGGAAAACAAAAAAAAAACATGGTGTGTCGATTGACCAAAATATCCCATCATGCCATGCCAGCGACACGTATGCCAGCTCAATTCCCAGCCAAGTCTCGATACAGCGAGCGAAATCGTGATGTCGATCCTTGGGCAACTCCTGTGTAGGCACATCATCAGGACAAAAACAGAAACAAAACCGCATAACGCGTCCGCGCCTCAAGTCCTCAAATCTGCAAGTCAACCCCACATCGGTGATGTACGCATGGCATGCATTGAAGCCAGGTTGGTAGCTAAATGATGGTCCAAAATACTGTCCCAACTGCAACGCAAAAACAAATACTTGCAGTAGTCAAAATCTCTGCGATAACAAACACGTCTGACGTAGAAGAGAAACACATGGAAATGGGTTCCTGCATTAGATCTGACTGCTAATTATTAAATGTGTGAAAGGTCAAAAGAGCCAAACTGCAAATTCCGCAGTTGATATCCAGCATGTTTGGCGGTTAAATGAACATGATTTGAATTAGGTAGCTGCCGAGTGTTTGGTCAACAAAATTTGCAATGGCGAAGCTGGGGTAATCGTTTGGAAGTGTTCCAACACGACACGCAATCAAAACTTGACAGACACACAAGCAACAATTGAAGTTGTGTAACGTAGGTAAATTGAAAAAGTGACCAGGAAGAAACAACGCAACACAAACACATGGAGCTTGCACGTCCCCAACCTTGGCAAATTGCCAGACCCCACGCACAAATCTACAAAAAGATCCAGTGGTAAAGCCAACAGAACCCCCACAAAAACCATTTGGGCGACAGTCACAGCCTGGGTAGCCTGGATGGCCGGATAGCCATTTTCCTTCGAAAATCGTACGAAGAATGCACAAAGTCTTGTTGCTGCCCTGAGCTGCGGAAGGACATCGAAGGAAGCATATCGAACTGTTTGAATCCAACGGTTTTCCAGCTCTGCTTCTTGGGTAACTGCACGTTCTAAGCCACTTGTGGGATGGTTCTCACCAATCCATTGTACTCACCACTCAAAGGTGCCCAACGGTTGGCTTCCCCGGACCTGCGTGGGGCCCTTCACGCGTACAGCCAGGGTTCCGGGAAGTTAGGACGAACAAAAGATATTCCGCACTTCTCCATACACTGGAGCAATTTGGAAAGAGGAAGGTGCTTGCCATCATAACAGGCTCTAAACAAACTCCAAACCCCAGAAACAAACAACCATAAAATATTGGGCAAAGAGGTGCTTATGAGCCTTGCCTTACTTCAGGTTCCACCTTGCTGGACGCTAAACATCATCACATCCCAAAACGGCATCCAAAGCTGCCGAGGTCCAACAACACAGCCCACAAAGCAAGGTACATTTGCACACACTCGAAATGAAAGTACGTGCGGTCTGATCGCTCCTAGCCTCGGTATTGAAGCGCCTAAGTTGTGCAAAGAGGGTTCCGCCATCGGAAACATTCAAATTCAAGAAGTCTCAAAGGCATGAGATTCCAAAGGCCACTGCTCGACTGCCACAGGCCAAATATCAGCACGGAGCTTGATCTTCGTTGGATCACCAGTACCAGGCTACCCGTGAATCCAGGGTGTACACACTCGGGAAAAAAAGTACTGAATTGGAAACCATTCGCCCCACAGCGACCAAGGTAAACCATAATCCTAAGAGTCCAGGGAGTAGGAAACCAGAAAAATGCAAGTGGAGAAGCGTCCAACCAAAAGAATCAAGATCTTGAAAATAGAAGTCTCAAAGCTTAGACTCGAGCGATTCGAGCGATCGACATCCTGTGCAGTCTGCAGATCTCAAACCGATGCAAAGGCCAATCACCTGTTCTAACAACAAAGGGGCCCAAAAGGAAATGAATGGCAGTCACCTTCCAGCAGGTACGTGCAATCTGCGTCCAGATTGCATATTAGAGCAAACTTGAAGTGTCTTTGTGAGCGGTGACTTCAAGAATGCCTACTGATTCCAAGGGCTTCACACACACTGGGAAGAATTATGGCGCGGGGCGTTAGAACCGTGTCA